CCAGGAGTTGGAGGTTGCTGTGAGCTGTAAAGCCACGGCACTCTACCCAGGGGGACAGCTTGAGGCTCTGTCTCAAAAAAAAAAAAAAATATATATATAAGTATAATCATTTTAAGGAGAACTTTGTACATGTAATAAAACTTTAAAACTATATGTTACACAAATCAGTATTTAAATATTTATCAGTAATAGAATTTTTTATTAAAAGATGAAACTAAACTAGTTCATATATGTCTTTGGCTTAGATTTGAGAGATAGGAATTAATAGGGGCTGTATACTTAGCATTGATCTGCTGTATAAACTATAGCATAATCTTGCAAAATGTTTTCCACTCCTGATTAGCATCTTATTGCTTTGTAGGTATGGAACACAATCGTTGGTTAATTTAGCATACTTAATAGGGAGAACCATAAGTACAGATTCACAAATCATGGAGGTAAGTAAATATTGTGAAATATAATGGTAACTTAGAAACCACTCTTTATGTAATTTAGACTTCCTAAAATTAAAAATATGCTTATCTGAATTATTACCTTCTATGCTTCTATTGGTGTTATATCACTGTGAAGAAAGTGTATTTGAATTGTATCCTGACCCTGAAATAGAGACCACCTGACCATGGAGGGTTGGATTTCATCCTTTCTCACCTGAGTTATTGCAGTAGGCACTGGCCTGGGGTCCCTATCCCAGACTGGTCTTCCTGCCAGCCTGTTCTTCCCATTGCTGCCAGTCAGTGCATTGTTCCCAAAGCTAGAGGAGCTCTTCATAGTTTTTAGAAGAAATTTTAAAGTCTTTTGAATAGCACAAGAGACGAGCCTTCCATGACTTGACCCCACCTCTCTGGGCTGCATTTTTGCCCACCTTACCATGGAGTGCTAGAAAGCAGGAGAAACTAATAAACACTTCAAACACTTTTCCTCTGGTTGTATTATACCACTTGTTGGTTTTCTTGAATTATCATGTTATTTTACATTTTCTAGACTTCAAAAAAACTCTCTCTTCTGTCTGTGGACTCCTCCCTATCCCTGTTGCTGGCTGGATAATTCCTATTCATCCTTTAAGATGATTCCTAGGATGACTGGAGAGCATGGAGGAGAGGGTATAAAACTCTGGGAATTTTTTTAAAGAACTAATTTACACCCTGTCCTCCTCCCTGCTCCCCAGTCATCCTATGAATATATTTATCACAGAGTTACTACTGCATTATGCTATAATCAGTGTGTAGATATGTCTATCCCAAGAGGCTACAATGAGCTCCTATCTTAGTCATATCTATTCTAGAATCTAACACAGGGCTTGGGCTTTGCTTTCCTTTGGGCTAAATTTCTTCTTAGATGAGCTTTCTCCACATGGAGACGAATAGCTCCAAGCCTCCATGCACCTTAGCACTGTCAGTGGCACAAGGAGGATCCTTTCCCACTCAGCTTCAAGTTCTCCACCTGAGAAAGACTTTGGTTGGTCCTACTTGGGTCACACACCAATCACTGTGTCCAGGGGAGATGAAATACTCTAAATGGTCTGTCCTGGGTCGTGTGCCCACACTAGGAGCCAGCCCCTCCCAAACCACAGGCACTGGGAATAGGAAAGTTTTTCTTTAAGGAAAAAAGGGACACTATAACCAGAAAATAAAAAGGGAGACAAAAGCAGATGTTTACACGAAGATACATACATACAAAGTGAAACGAGAATGAAATATAAATGTAACTTCCACACCCCTAGTAGCATAGTTAAAATGATTACTAGGATGATTTATAGGACTTAAGGTTGGGAAAGCAGTCATATTCCAGAAAATGCAAAGTAATCTAGGGTGACAAAAGGTAGGTTGTGGTTGCCTGGGATGGGGGTGGGGATGGTTTACAAAAGGGCCCAAGGAAACTTTTTTTGACAATGGAACTGTAGTGTATCTTGATTGTGGCTATAGTTTCAAAAGGGTTTATGTTGGTCAAAATTCATTGACTTATACAGTTTAAGTAGATAGAGTTTATTATACATAAATTATATGCCAATAAAAATTCAAATTAAATGCCAGGGCCTGGAAGTGGAACTATATCTATATATCTATATCTATATCTGTATCTATATAAAACAGGAGGGCCTATGTCACTAAGAAAGGACAGTCAGCCCCACCCCCAGACAAATAAACAAATAAAAGTGTAGGCCATAGAGGCCTGAAATTTGATCCTATGCAAACAAAGGAGAAGCAATCTGTTATGTGTTATGTAGCTGTTATCATGAGAGAGGAAGAACCACTGATTCCTAAAGAAATTATCTTCGGGCTCGGCGCCTGTGGCTCAAGCGGCTAAGGTTCCAGCCACATACACCTAAGGTGGCAGGTTCGAATCCCCAGCCCAGGCCCGCCAAACAACAATGATGGCTGCAACCAAAAAATGGCCGGGCGTTGTGGCGGGCGCCTGTGGTCCCAGCTACTTGGGAGGCTGAGGCAGGAGACTCGCTTGAGCCCAGGAGTTGGAGGTTGCTGTGAGCTGTGATGCCAGAGCACTCTACCCAGGGGGATAGCTTGAGGCTCTGTCTAAAAAAAAAAGAAATTATCTTCGGATTTTGGCCTGAGGCTGAGCTGTCAGGACTCCCCACCCCAACAAGACAGAGAAAAGCACACCACGCCCACAGCATGCTGGAAGGAAAGTTCCCACATCAAGACGGAGAGTGTGTTAGTATCTTCTAAAGTGCAGTTGTTCATCTTCGCCTCTCTAGAAGGGAGAGAAGTTTTGTTTGTTTGTTTCATTTGCTTAATGAATGAGTGAATGAAATTTGTTTAAATTTAGCAATCCACAGGGTTCCCAAACTCTATGGTCATTGATAGTTTTTAAAAATGCAAAAATGAACTTCGTAGTAGTTAAATTGTTATAATTTTGAGAACAAACACATTATCTCTGATGAATGTCCTTGTCATTAATATATTAATGTCCAGCAGTTCTACTCTATCACATCAGTTCACTTGATAATATCTAAAATAATTGCTAAGAAGGAAAGTAGAGAAGAAGCCATCTGAGTCCTTTGTCCCTTCCTGCAGGCACAGATTTCATATACCCTCCGCATCTCTGGCTTTGATCTTTATGCTGTACCCTGCTAGAAGCCTGGTCTCTCTCCTGCTCTCAAGCACACACGAAACCCACCTAGATTTGCACAGAGCCCCCCACTCCCACCACTGCAGGAACATCAGTCATGTGGAGCCATGGGTAGTGACTCCCACCTGCTAGCAAGTGTGTGTGTGCAAGGAAGGAGTGGGAGACTTGTTCCTGGCTCCTTAACCTACTTCTCTCTAGAACTTTACTCTTGTTTTACATTGTAGTTACACTTGATAACTCTATTACTACTCAATTTCAAGTGCATCAGGGTTTAAGTGAGCCTTTGTAAGCTAGAATAGATACTATCATTGTATGATGATATATGTCCTGAGTTCTAATCTATTGACACAGAAATAGACTTTTGGAATACAATCTGTTATTCAATTGGAGTCTCATTTATATGTAATAGTGTGATGAATGTTTCCATAACAGAATTCTTGACCTGACTCAATGAGGTAACTTAGCCAATGGATGAATCCATTAACTAAGTAATTCTCAAGTAAAGAATATCATTTGTTAAATTATATACCGGTTTTATGTAAAAATTATATACTGATTTTGAGCTTTGAAAGTTGCAAAGGTTCTGTTGAGATAAAATATAGTATTTTACTGTATCTTGGTCCATAAATCTTATGTAATATTCAATATGCATTCAGAAAATATTCACAGAGCCCTACTGTGTGCTTTGGGAATATAGCAATGAATAAGACAAAATTTCTACTTTGTAGACCTTCCAGTTGTTCACCTAAAAGAAAAAGGCTGAGGTGCAAAATATAATTTCAGAATTTACTTGAACCAAAGTGAGGACGGTTGCCTGGAAGAGTTAGACCCAAGTAACATTGGGTATGACATCTATCTGATCTTGGTTATAAGTAGATTTTTAAAGGCAAGAAAGGGAGACAAGGGATGGGCTGATTCCAAGTGGTTTGTCAGGAATTCTCATTGGTTTACAGAAATAACATTGGTTAGTGAGTGGCTATACAATGTTAAGCTATAGAGCATGAATTAAAGTTTCCAGTTTGGCATTTCTTGTTTAGTTTATAGCTTCTTGTTAAAGCAAGCAGTTTCAAGAGATGGACACACAGCTGGTAGAGGGGAGTACGACAGGAGTGATTGCTGTCACATTTGAGTATCTCTCTGGGCCCAATAATTTAAGAAGACTTGCCTTCTTCAGATAAAAGTCTTTTGTGTTCTTACAAGGTGCATCCACTTCTTCAGGGTAGGCATGGTGTCCATAACATTGTCACAGCCGCTTTCCCAAGGGACACACAAGCCTCTTTACTCATTCCAACCATTGTCTCCCGTTTGCAAAGTCAGGTTGCTACTTGGCATTCACACATTTCGTTTGTCAAAATGAGAAGTTGGGTGGCACTGACCGCTGTCTCTCTGTCCTTCCAGCTACAGCAGTTCTTCAGTAACATGCTGGGGGAGCACCAGAAGACCACAGTACACGCCAAATTACGGACAGTAAAGAACCAAAATCTGAAAACCAAAAAGCAAAGCACCAGGATAGCGGAGTGGCTGCGGAGAAACACGTAGCTCCTGGCTCCATTCAGCACTCCTCGCGAGTAATGTAACGCTGTTTACGTGCAGTTTTGTTTTCTAATACACTGTGAGGCTGGAAAACCACATGTTTCGTTATTTGTATTTCAGTCACATTCAGTACTCCGAGTCCTGCTCTTCCCAACTGCCATGTGTGGCCTGAGGCTTGGCGATAGCTAAGGAGTTTGCCAACACTGCTGCATTTCTGGGGAAGATTTTGCATCATTTGGACTATAAACCCACAGAATTTACTTTAAGTGCCTTGTAAAAACAAATTTTACCTAATTCTTGTTTATTCTCTTGTGGAATATTAAAGCACTGGCCTTAATGAAGAACACATTCTTCTCTGAGGGAAACAGAGATTTGTGATGCTCGAGGGTGTGTTTAGTTCGATATTAAAAAGAGTAATGAAAAATAGCATGACAGTATGAAGGAATAGAATTCTAGAAAATAGAAAAGCCAAAGAAAAGCAGGTTTGGTAAAGAAAAGATAGACTGTCTAATAAGCCATAAAGGCAAGAGCTGTGTCTTTTCCTGCCCACTTCTCTTCTCTACTGCACTGAACCACACTTGGCTGGCTACTGAGATTTATGGTGTTACAAAAAGACAGATAATTGTAGGATCTATGAAGTGTCCTTAGGATCACTGTTATGAAGGTCACAATAGAGATGAGGGCTCTGCTCTGAAGCTCTTGACTGCATCTTCACCTGTGGGATGGATGCTCTTTCAGTGAAAGCCTATGAGCGAAAACAGTGATGTTAAAAGACAGCAAAGGTGGGTAAAGGGAATCTTCAAGTGAACGGAAATAGAACGAAAGGACTAACCAGAGCATAACCCTTACAGTTTTACACTCAGGGAACTAAGTTTGCAACATGCATGTTTTTGGCCAAATTGAACCCACTTGTGACAGGGGACTGCATTTTCGTGTGTCACGATGTATGGGATTAGCTTAATTTTGTTACACTTCATTAAAAGAGAACAACTAAGGAAAAAATCACTCTTAAACTTTATGTATATCTCATTTAAGCCTTTATTTTATTTTATTTTATTCTACATTTTATTTTTGTTTTCGTGGAATGGAGGTAAAACTACCGACCTCCTATCTACCTCAGGCTGATATTTGTAAAGATTACGGAATATGATGTCAATTAAAAGTCTTTGAAGATGTTATATAAACTAAAAACAATATGACCTAAGGCTTCTTTCCTATTTCTTGTGTGCATTAAGGCAGCCACAAATTAAAATACAATATAAATTTTGGTTTTGTATTTGCTTTGCAACAGCTACTACACTTTAGGGTCAGTGGGAGGTTGACCTTCACCCTGTGACAGACAAAAGCCCAATCTACTCAGACTTGACTATGAGTGTCATAGGTCAGAGAATTTTTTCTTTAGATTTAGAACTGTAATTTTAAGCAATAAAACATCGCCATACCTTCAAATTAGCATGCGTGAGATATTTTTCCTGTTTTTTAAAACATTCACTCATTCACGATTCCCATATTTCCTCTGTTGATGACTCTTGCCTTGGCTTCCCATGTCCTTTCCACTCCTTTTCTCTTCCTCCTCTTCCTCTCTGTCTTAGTCTGTTTTGTGCTGCAATAACAGAATACCTGAGACAGGGTAATTTATAAGGAACAGAAACTTATGTCTTACAGTTCTGGAAACTGGGTGGGTGAGGGCCCTGCTGTTAGAACAGAGATAATCTTTACAACCCACATATGTAGGAGTAACTTGGACTCACCCCTTTTTTCTCTTCATAAATGCCAGTCCTAAGTGTGCAACAGAATAAGACAGGCACCAGCATGAATGGAAACCAAGGGACTATGGTAGCCTGTGACCTGAAGTGGAACATCAGAGCTTCAGTGGGGTGAAGAGAGAGTCCATACAGAGGGAGGAATCCAGGTGAGATGTCAGAACCCAGGCAGGCTGAGTAGGGTGACCACACCATGGGGAAGGGGCTTATGACAAGGTGATTCAGAGACAAACAGGTTATGGAGGACATCTAGGCAGGGGGGCAGCCCTATAGGGTTCGTCAGAGCCAAACAGGATGAGAAGGGGATCTAATAGGGAGTGGGTCACCCAGAATGGGCAGTTCAAGTTCTATACTGAACTGGGGGTAAGGAAGATGCCCATATTTCTAGCATAAAGTAGTGGAGTCTAAAGAGGGCATTCACTTGGGGAGGAGGGAGGCAGATCTAGAACGTTGGTTACCTCTCTAACAAGAAAGTATACACATGATAATAGGATTCAGGTACCTCATTTTTTGGAAAAGGGCATTACAGATATTCAAAAGGAAGGAACCGGTATGAACTGTTTTTTGGAAAGGAATTAGAGGTATTGGTGTGGATTCATGGTTTTCAATATATAGATAGATGTGTAACATCTATAAGAGTGTACTAAATACTTATAAGTGTGTATAGATACATTTTCTTTTTTTCATACCTCTCTATATACAGTAGAACCTCCATAGTTGACCACCTCCGTACATTGACCCCCTTCTTAGGGTGACCTAATTTTCATAGGCCAGACATGTACCACATGTACATATTAGTACAGTAGGCCTGGTTCCTTATGTTGACTACCTCTGTATTTTGATCAGTTTGTTACAGTCCCTTGGGTGGTCAGCTTACAGAGGTTCTACTGTATTAATAGACAGATATAGACATAGACACTAGCTATTCCACTGAGAGGGTCTAGAAGCAGCAACACTTTTGTAATGAACTGAATATGTGCCCCCAAGATTCACATGTTAACACTATGACACCCAAGGTGATAGGTTTTAGTGGTGGAAATTTTGGGGAGACTTTGGGAGGTAATTAGATGGGGTCATGAGGTTGGAGACCATGATGTGATTAGTGCGCTGATAAGAAGAGGAAGAGACACCAGAGCAATCTCTTTCTCTCCATGTACATGCACCAGAATAAAGCCATTGAGCACAGAGGGACGGTGGCTGTCTGTAAGCCAGGAAGAGAGCTCTCACCAGGACCCAAATCTCCCAGCCCCTTGAAAATGGACTTCCCAGCCTACAGAACTGTGAGAAACAAATGTGTGTTGCTTAAGATACCTCGTCTATGCTATTTTATTATAACAGCATGAACTAAGACAACACTAACAACATTAGACAGATCTTGCCTTCTAAATGCCATTCTGCACTAAAAGAACCAGGACTCCTTGAAGAAAGGGCTAAGTTCAGTGCTGGGGCAGGAAAAGGACAGTTAGAAATGGAATGTTTTTGTACCAAAACTCAAGGAAGTGCTCCGTAAATGAGGGGAACAGATCAAGAGGGAACAGAGAGACTGTTTGAAGGGATCCCCAGTGGCCAGATCTGGGAATTTTTGAGAATCATAATAATAAAGAGGTGTAAGGGAATAAAATAGGAAATCATGAGTTTATACTTACATATAAGAATAATGAATAAATTGAAATGTTCATAAGGAAAAGGATATTTACATAATTTCAAAATACCTTGCCACATTATACTGCTAAATTATGAAAGTAAAATGAATACTTTATTGTAGAAAAGCCTGGCAAGCATTACCTTCATCAGGGGATCAATTTGAACATCCTAGCCATGGGATAAATAACAATTTTGTTCCATTTGATAAGATAAAATGAAAAAACTACCATGTCACTTGTTTTATATGTCTAACAAAGCTGTGTAGCATGAATCTAATAACAAGGAAACATCAAACTGAGGGACATGCCACAAAATCACTTCCCCAATTGTCAAGGTAATGACAGTCAAGAGAAGATGAGGAGCTGTTCTAGACAAGGAGATTAAAGAGATGTGACAACAGAGTATGACGGGTGATTCTGAACCGGGGCTTTCTGGGATAAAGGACGCTATCGAGACAAGTGGGAAACCTTCAGAGGAACCTGAGGATCGCATACCGAAATATATCACTGATAATTTCCTAACTTTGATGGTTGCTTTGTATTCATGTAGAATATATCCTGGCTTGTGAGAAATACTTGTCAAGGCACAGCGGGGCATCAGATGGGCAAATTACCTAGTGGTTCAGGACAAAAACATTTCTTATGATAATTCTGACTTCTCTATAAAGTTCGTGATGAAATAAACATAAATAAGAATTAATTGTTAGGAAAGGTGAAGTACACTTTTATTTCTGGACATTTTTTCTTTCAAATTGGGAAGTGGCCACAGCCATAGTCCTGCACTTACCCAATTAACACTTTTTTTTGAAACAGTCTCACTTTGTCTCCTAGGCTAAAGTATCATGATGTCATAGCTCACAGCAACCTTGAATTCTTGGGCTCAAATGATCCTGTTGTCTCAGCCTCCCGAGTAGCTGGGACTACAGACACTCACAACAGGGGGCTAATTTTTCTATTTTCAGTAGAGATGGGGTCTCACTCTTGCTCAGGCTGGTCTGAAACTCCTGAGCTCAAGCAATTCACCCCTCTCGGCCTCCCAGAGTGTTAGGATTATAGATTTAAGCTACCATGCCCAGTCTAGTTAATATTTTAATAAGCCTAAATTGGAAATACAAGTTGTCTCCCAAAACTTATTTCAATCCGCATTTTCCATCTTCAACCAGAAGGACTAAAAATCATTTAGAATATGTATTATTCACAATAAACAAATTCATATTTAAATGTGAGATAAATGTAAATCATTACACTTATTAATAAAGCTCATTAGAAACTCATGTAAGTTTGTAAGAATTTATATTCCTGAAGTTATTAGAATTTAAAATTTCACTAGTGTTTTTAGGTAAACCTTTGCATATACATGGATGAATGAGGCAATTTTGAAGTTACTACGGCAACAAGTTGACTTACTCCATGTTAGAATAATGGCTAGATAATATATTTCATGTAACCAGTGATAAATGTATATGAGTCTAGAAGTTTAGTACAGTAATCTTCCCTTATTCACAGTTTGTAACCCCTGGTCAACAGTGGCCCCAAAATATTACATACTTTTATGCATAGGGCCATTATTCAGTAAAATAAGGGTTATCTGAACACAAGCCCTGTGATAACAGGACAGTCGATCTGATAACCAAGGTAGCTACTGAGTGACTAATGGCCAATTAGTCTGGACAGAGTGAGACAGCAAGAGATTTCATCACGCTACTCAGCATGCAATTTAAAACTTATGAATTGTTGTTTCTGGAATTTTCCATTTATGCCATGATGCCCATTTCCCCTACTTAATCTTGCCATATAGTCACTTTATCTCACATTGTCATGAGAAGGGTGAGTTCAGCACAATAAGATATTTTGAGAGAGAAAAAGACCAAATTCATATA